TTTAGGTAGTTAGCCAAATATGGTGGCTAGCTAAATATTTAACTTGCTAGTTAAATATTAGTTATTATTATATATCAGTTTTGTTTGAGGCAACATGACAGAGTAAAAGATGAAGAAGCAGCTTGCTCCTTTTATCAAATTCCAAAGCTGCTACAAGAAGAAAGCTGTGGCTCAACGCGCTTCGCCGTCACGACTTCACTCCAACAAAAAACAGTAAAGAGTGTAATCATAAATAAATAAATAAATAAATAATGAAYACCAGATCAGTGCAAAATTCAGCAAGTTCTGGTGTGAGGAGTTCTCTTATACTGTTGCTTCATATTTGCTTTGACTTTAGCCTGAATGACAACAGCTCCAGCACAAACAGTATCGTCAGCAATGCCACAAATGCCAACAATCTGAACGTGGCCAAATTTGAAAACACGATAGCTGATTTCAACGTCCTTGTTTTGGCAATTGTCTTCTCTGACACGGTGCCCCCTCCTCGACAGTTGCTGCACAATGATATCCTCTCAGATCTGCAGCCCACTTTTCAGGGATTTTGYCCATTGGTTGTCCACAGTTTTCCGAAACCAGGCATCGTCATTACAACTCGCCATCATCACCTCACTCTTTCTAATTACATTCCCTCTCACTTTTTTTTTTTTTTGCAGGAATGGTAACCATGGTGGCATTTCACCATCCAATCAAAACGTTTCTTTCATGCATGCTTTGTAATGTGCAAAAAGAGTATCTCTCTTTGAAATGACATAAAATTAGGATTCAGACCAAATATTATTGTATCATCATAACCAACRAGACAAATTAAGTCAYRTCTCGATCCACTTATGATGTCAGAATGATCCAGATATCAARTTGTAGCAAGCATCTGCTTTTCACTTCCGATGAAAGTGTTTTATTTAGATACCAAGATTATTTAAGAAGATTTGTAAATATTGAGACACAATYACATTTTGGCATATTTTTTCAAGCACAAACTTTAAGAAAACCCCTGGGGGCTGAAGAAGACAGGGGTCTTACGTCTCATCCAGTGACGGCTGAAGACAGGCACCAGCTCCTGCAGCCCAGAAAGGAAAAGCAGGTAAATAACTTAGGGCTTCACGGATGAGAGACCCCTGGTTGAATTTCAAACAAGAGTCAGCCTCTGTAAAACGCTTTTTAAGATCATTCTAAATCTTCCACCCACRTTAAAATACATGAAATATATTTTTCAAAGACGACTCGTTCTTCGACACCCTGACAATTTTTCAAAGCAAATAGTAAAATAACAGAAACCACCCGTATTCTGATCTGCAAATAAATCTCTTTTCAGCCCAATCCAAAACTTCCACATCATTTCTTGAACAGAAATATCTCTGTGGGCAAATCTGGTTTCTTGGAAAATCTTCCAGCTGGTGTTCGATCGGAAGAAAAGCTTCTCCGAGCGCGTAGAAATGTTTTGAGCTGCAGTAAACATGCTTTCAAGCTGTAAAAGGATCTGGATCACTATGAGACATGTCAAGGCAACAAGCCGTACTGTAATATCTGTGACACCAGGTTGGCTGCTCTTACAGAAGCGAGGAGGGAAAAAAATGTTTGTTTATAATCTGAGCTCCAAATCAGTTTCAATCAATCAATCAATCTCCTCCTGAAGAAAAAAACAAAACGTAAAAAAAAGTGGCGTGAATTACAACAGCAAACAAGGAATAGTCCAGATTTTTCTKTGAAACATGCATGTTACCATGTGAAGGTGGGGAATTCGGAAGGTGAAATTCTCRCTAAGGAGGGTGATTTTCTTTCTAACAAGCAAGAAAAATGTGAGTTTGGCTTTTTGAGAGAGCTCTTTTAATACATGTGGACTCTGAAGGTCAAGAGCTTAAAAGTGGAAATCGTTTTTACTGTTTAAATTTTCATCGTGATGAATTCAGTTTTAGGTGCTTAACGGGTGCCTTGATGGTTTGAAAYTCAGTATTTTTGTCTGATAAACAGATGAAACCATCATGGATCAGGACAAAAACTAAACCATCTACGCCACATAAAAGAAAATATGTTCAGCGTTTTTAATCTACACCCTCACAACACAACACAGCCATGATTCTGGTTGTGTGTCTGTAAAGTGCAGCATCTCCTTAACACAAGCTGTGATCCAGCTGGTCCCCCAGGTCCAGCAGATCTGATCCACTGATCCGGCACATATTTGATTGGGGAAAGATGGATCTGGCTGGCCACAGGAGAACSTCAACAGCTCCTTGGAAACGGAATCCTTTAATTTCTCATCACTGGTCTRCATGTGTTCCCTTCTTCTGAGTGTTTATTTATGCAAATAAGGTTTAAATATAAAGAAAGACAACAATGAGGAAGCACTGCAGTTCCATTTGCCAAACTGAATGATGTAAATGTGAAAAAGAAGGATTTAAAAGCCTCATGTYTCCTCTAACTCTGAGTGCATCTACAGATAAGCATGTCACACCTGAGGTTCTTTAGCAAACTGTAGTTTCCTAGAAATCCCTTGCTGYCCACTAATGAAACACAAGTTGTCCAGGAGGCAGCTGTCAGGCTATAGAAAAAGACTTCCTGCAGAGCARTAATAGGCTCTTCAGCTCTATTGAAGACCAGGTAACAACTGGGTTTACATGAACTCTGATTTCTGTCTTCTATTTTATTCACCAGTTTTATTCACTATTCATCTGTGCGCTGCATTTCTTTAGGATTTTGTTGAACATGTGTCTGTCAAATGCTGAATACTCTTAGATAACAGCACTAGAAAGTTTTCCCACTTTTAATCCACACATRAAGTACTTCAGAAGATTGTACAAGWGAGTGAAGTATGTTTTAGGTAGTAATTATTGATGTATCCACTCACACAGAGTGGTGGAGCAGAGCAGAGGGAGGTCGCCACTTCTTACAGTATTATGTAGCTGCAAACCTGCTGAAAGTTCCACTTTGATAACAATAAAAAAATCTCTCCCTCTGGCAGCAAATGACTTTAGGAGCTTGTTACAGTTCTCTACACTGTCAGTGGACGGCGCTTCACAGTGGAGAGGGACATTGATCCTTAACATACTGAGAAAACAACGAAAGAGTTCTGTAAGTCAAAAAAGTGGAATCAGATTTAACATTTCACTTGCTGAGGATAAAGACTGAGGAGAAAATGGCCTAAGAACAAACAAGTGAAGAGGAGTGAAGAGGGATGAAACCCAGYGTCTGCTGAAGTCTGTGTTCCTGACTTCAGGTTGTAACTGACTGCAAAGGACTTGTAATCAAATATTAAAATGTAGAGCTGTGATTGTTAATTTGTCTCGTTACTTTTCATCCCTTAAGAGGTGGGAGGCACGTCTACAAACTGTTGTAATTCGTTCAGTTCACCTGATTTACCTTCAAATTAAAGCTGAAAATCTGCAGCTAAAGCACATCTTGTTCCTTTCATTTCAGATCACGGTGGTGTGTTTACAGCCAAATAAAAGAGAATTGTGACAATGTCCAGTTTTCTTTTTTATAGACCTGACTGTAAATCAAATATTTATCAGATCACCCAAAAACTGTCCAGAGGGCTCAGTTGTTTGTGAAGATGACTTTAGGGTGCCMAAGAAAGTCCAGCAAATGACCGGACATCCTCTTGAAGTGGATTCAGAGGCAGGATTGGGGCACCAGCGGGGCAGTTTGCTCAGAAATGACAGCAGACAGGCATGAGTGCGTCTGCAGGCTCAGTGAGGTGAAGACCTCTGGAGGAAGGTCTGCGATGAAGGGCAGCACGTGACCCACTTCTGTCCAAGAAAAACATTAYGTCCTGCAAAAGACGCAATGATTGGACTGTGCAGGATGAGGAGCGGGGGGAATTTTCTCTAATGAATCCTCATTTTTTATGTTTGCAGCATCCAGAAAGAAGACTGGAGAAGAGAAAGTGACTTATTTACGAATGCAGTCATGAATAAAGAACGGGACCTATACATCCTCTGAGATCAGCTGTTCCCATGGCTTCAGGGCCACCGTACATCCATGAAGTGTTTGGGTCTAAATGAAGTGATGAATGTGATGAAGGAATATTCCTTTCAAAGTCCAAGAGCAAAAGAGAAAAGTGACGCTCTAAAAAGAATGAGTTTGGWTCCACTTTAATGTGAACAAAATGATAAAGACTTTTGTTCTCCTAATGCGTGAGCTCATGTTGTTAAACAAAAAGCTGGAGCTGCTGMGATGCTGAATGCAGCGCGGCTCTGAAAACCACAGTTCTGAGAGTGTTTATCACAAAGAACAGTGATTTTGACCTTTTCAGTCTTTGATTGGAAAATATCAGTCTTTGGAGATTCATTTCAAGAGGGGCTGACTTCAGCTGCAGTGAAAACAAGCACCGTGAATAATCACTTCTTAACATTTCTGTAAGAAAACAGCCTGCAGAGTTCACAGATTTATTTCTGTATTTTCAGGAATGTTCATGTTCTTTCAGTGTTTACACAGTTTCTTTTATTTGACAGCAAAGTACAAAACATGTATAAAAATAAACAGGTTTCAGAAAAAGCTCTTATACAAGTGCCATAAATTTGATTTGATAACATGACAGTAAAATTATAAAAATATTGATACTAATCTAGAATATTCTCCATTCTGCAGAATGAGTATAAGAACATAAAGGTTGAACAGTAATGCCATGTCAAGTTCAGATGAAGTACATTAAATATTTATGATTCTTTTCTAATTTAAACATTCAACAGATCTCATCACAGATTACATTTTTTTTAACTTGCAGAGTTAGGTTCAGGAAAAGAGTTTTGATCGGTTAGCAAAGTGAGCTAAAATAATTACACAACATTTAACATGAACTCAAGTTTGTGTGCAACACAAATCATGTCTCAATTAAATAGGAATTTCTTTTGTACAAAAATATTTTTATAATRGGATTAATGTTTTGATTTATGAATGACTTCATTTGTGTCTCTACAAAATAGAAGTTAAAGAAGGGTAAGCTTACAGGCGCCTAGTGTAAAATAAAATGTTAAAAAATGTCAAATTTTCTTCTTATGTAGCTCACTGTTCTTACATTTAGCTAATTTTAACTAAATGTAAATTTTAAATATTAAACATTTTATGTAAATGTTAAACTCTAAATCTAAACGTGTAAGTTTAAATGYAAAAATTAAATCTTGTATGTTGTGGCTAAACGTGGCTTCTGTTATGACATCATTATCCTGCGACAAAMGCAACCACTAATGCTGCTAACACCGCTAACACTTCACAACAAGACATCAAACGTGCAGTTACAACTAGTGTCTGAGTTGCACTTCAACCTGCCGAAGCACAGGTACAATCCATGTTGTTCTAAATGAACACACTAAATTTAAATCTGAAAGGCCGTCTTCAGCAGCGTTTGCTCGTGTCCCAGGATGATGACATCACAACAAAAGCTGTGTTCCATTCTGAAGCTCTTAAATGTAAACTTCATCATTTAGCTGCAACATTTAAGATTTTATTTTTACATTTCGATTAACACCTTTGATTTAACATGTAGATGTGAAATTTAACATTTAAACTTAACGTTTAGTAAAAAAAAGCTAAATGTAAGATCAGTATCAATATTTTAATCGGATTTTACACAGAAAGTGAGCTAAATAATGATGTGTTTGTGATTTTTTTTTAACATTATTTTTCACTTGGTGCTAGGAGCTCTCAGATTTCAATGTTACATTCTTTTAATAAAAGAGTCCTAAAGGTAACAAAGACTTGATTAAAGTGATGGTACTTGAATGTGGAGGCAGAGGGAACTTTTTAAGCTGCAGAAAACCCAGATGCTGCAGATTTCTTTTGATTGCACAGAAAATAAAGAGACGGCAACAGAAAATAAAACTGTTCACCCACTCTGCTCAATTTTATATGAACTGGAAAAGAATCAAAAACTTAAAAAGCGCAGAACTGAGCTTCCCGTCTGACATTGTAGTCTCTTCATTTACRGCTTAGAAAAAGATGAAACAAACTTTTCAATAAAAACCAGTGGCGCCTGTTTTCAATTAGATCTCATTTCAGATGAGTGACTCCTCTACCTGTTTGATCGCAGCAGCATTTAAGCAGATTGTGATTTTTCTCTCTCTCTCACTCCAATACAGAAAAAATAACACTGTCAGGTGCTTCACTCCCCTAAAACACAGTATTTTTCAGATTGTGCTCTAACAACTAAAGCATATGGATGCTAGTTATATCAAAATATTTCTCTTTTAAACTCATCTTATATTTATATGAGTATACAAAAAGTCAGCAGCTCACAGGATGTTCCAGACTGAGACAGGTGAGAGCACAAAAACCCTTCATTACGCCCGATAAAACAAAATCAATATAAAAAAACTAAATCCAATAAGACAGAAAAGTCATTTGCTACTAAAGTTATCTATTTTTTATTTTTTGCATTTACTGTGAAGGCCAAAACAAAAACACTGGGACTAAGATCTTGTTTTTTTTCATGTAAGATCAACTAACAACACAGGAGAGAGTTGCTTTACATATCAAAGCTGTAAATGAGTCGCACCACCTGCCTAAACTACATGCAAATCACTACTATTAGTATTCAAGGAGAGCTCCTTTTTTGTCTTTGAAGCTGCCAAAACCCAAATAAAAAACAATGGGGATCATTCTTCCTGACAAAACAGTTCCCTGAGAGCCGTTGGACCTGAAGGTCATGTGCGGCGTCATCGACCCGCAGTCTTTTTACAGAGACGTGCAATAGTGTCCAAAACTTACACAAAACTGTGCTAAGCTACTATTTTAATACATATAACTTATTTTTATTTATTTATTTACCATTATTTTACCAGGCAAGTCCCATTGAGATCTCAGATCTCTTTTTCAAGGGAGGCCTGGGCCTGAAGGCAACCTATTGTACATGTTTTTGTGTTATAATACATATAAATGAATTTAAAGTATCCATATCTGTAATTCTGTATAAAAGTCACATAGTTATCACCTTAACTGTTTTAGATAGTTATTTTAAAGGGGACATATGCAAAATCTACTTTTTTATCCATTAAATGGATTTTTGTGGTGCACTTGGAGCCTGTAGGAGTGCAGAAAGTGGAATTAAGGCTCTCCCAGTTCTGCAAAGATAACTTTATATTCTGTTTGGGTCATATTTTTCAACCCATTCAATTCGATCTATTTTCAATATAACATCAAAGTATTTGCAATGGAACTGCAAGAAAAGGTCTCAACTACAATTTGGTCGTCTTCATTCTGCTCTGGCTTAACAAGTAAGACATGTAATTAATTTGTTAAAAAAATGTTTCTGCGCAGCTATATAGCCGTAAACCCCTCTATAAAACTAGAATGAACTGGTCTGAAAACTGGTGTGTGTGTGAGGCGCATCGTTTGGAATTAAAGACACAGCCTCAAAACGAGTTGATCTGAGACGCACCTCAGAAAAGAGGCGGGGCTTTTGGAGTTACAATAAAGAGGAATTCAGATCAAAGTCCAGACCAATTTTGAAGCTTGGAGTTGTTTTAAGGAGGATTATTCACTGTGACTAGCTGTTAGCCCATCAGTCCTGTGAGAATGAAACTTGATTTTTTTTTTAATTGTGTTCATACAAAGCTCCATCTGCAGCAGGTGAAATATTAATTGTTCATATCCTTTCAACATCAACCAACTTCTAAAGATCTAAACTATAAATTTTAAGAGTTTGTTCCCCACACACACAGTAAATGCATAAATAAAATAAAATGAATTTATATTCTAATATGAATGGCACTCTGACATTACCTCCACTGGTAATAAAAATGACATTTCTTGCATTTTGTGTCTCAGTTCTTTGATAACAGCAGAGACCAGAGAGTTTTTAGGCATCCAAAGCCTTTTGCCTGTCTGCAAAATAACAAGCTCCTGTGATGGTCTGGTACAAAATCCACATCATTACAGAACAAGCAGTAATTCTCTCCAGCAGGTAACATTTACTGAAGTTAGGCTTGAAAAGAACAACAGCTTATAAAAGGAGGAATATGGCTACATTCTGTATTTTCAGTAAGGAAAAAACTGGTTCCCTTACCAGTTGTGCTCACCACCTCCGCTCACAGTTAAACATACCTCCTTAGTGTTATTGCAATTAGAAAAAATTAACATTAAAAAAGCAGCAGCCAAAGGAGGTCAGGAGATTAAGTCAAAAGTGTTGAAAAAACTTCACAGTAAACAAATGCACTCTTTTTAGTTTCTGAAAGTTAAAGCATTGAATCAACATCAACATTTGTGATCATATGAGGATAAAAACACAACTTTGTTTCTAAAGTCAACCTGAACTTTAGATTAAAAATAAGTTCACATGAAGAATAATAAATGTTAATAATCAGAAACTACGGCCTCAGAGCACCACTGTTAATCCAGTGGAGAAAAATACATTCTTTAAAATAAACACAATCAGTGTGTCTTGATTGTAAGCAACAATATGGAGCTACTTCCTCCAACACATTAGTAAGACACAGATTTGTGCAGGATGTTTGTGTTTTCAATGTTTTTAGACAGACGCCGACAAAACTCATTGGTTAAAACTGCATTAAGGTTGTTCAGGCACTTCGGCAAAAATTATGTTACCAAATGGACTAACTGCATCTTATTTAATAATTATAGTACCTTTATTTTGCTCCCTATCTTTTACTCTACTGTGCAAATCCACTGGAGCTTTTCCTTTTCTGAGAAGGACCTTTCACATCTCTACGAATAAAACTGTATTGCTTCAACGGAGGGGACAGGAAGCTCATGTTTTCTTTCTTCACCAGTTAAAAAAGGTCTCTGCTTCAGAAGCTGGACTCGGGGACGGGCTTTTTGCGTCCGAGAGAGTTTGTGCTGTAGCGAGTCCTCTGCACTGTGTCTGTAGCGAGTGTCCTAGATGGTCCCTTAGGCATCCCATTCCGATGTAAAGACGCTGTTCGGCGCACGCTCTGCTCCGGTTTGGTGGGAATGTTAGAGGAGCTCTGTGAGCGTTTAATATCAGAGCGTCCCAACTTCCCATTGGCCAGCTCATTCACCTGATGGCTTGAACCATTAGACTTGACTCCTCCCACTGATGTTCTGCCTCCTGCTGTCCCATTAGACAGCGCAGTCTTAGATGACGAAGTCCTCCTGCTTTTGTCCTCACTCCTCCCTTTACTCGACTCACCCTCATCAACCTTTTTAGGGTCCTTATCCTTCTTCATGATGTTGCCTTTCAGGAAAGAGAAGAGGCCGTCGTGGCTCTTGGGTGCATCGTCTTTCTTGGTCTTAGGGTCTTCCTTTGAACTTTGGTGATCCTTGTCGGCCCCGTCCTCTTTTGGTCGCCTCAAGGTCCCGTCTGCCAGGCTGGGTGTGCTGTGGCTGGGATGGACCCCGGCACTGGAACTCTGTCTCATCTCTGCATCTTGGGATGGTTTGGAGGAGCTCTGCCTCCTTCCATCCTTCCTTCTGGTCAGAGTGTTGCTACTGGAGCTAGAGCTGAGATTGACTGAATTCTCCTCCCTGGCCTGACTTTCCTTCTTCCGTCTCAGGCTGGCCACCTTCTCCGATGGCCTCATCTGGCCCTCTGGGACCTGTGGCAAAGGTGGGTCCTCTTCCATCTTGCCCACGCAGCTCATACTGCCAACACCAGAGGACCGGACACTTCCACTGCGGGCCCGATTCAGTTTCTTTGAGCTTCTTTGCGATTCATTCATCACCGTCACGATTGAATCTTTGGTGCACCGAGGCCGTCGGCCAGACTCCAAGTACTGGACTAGTTCCGCAGGGTCAGGATCCTGGATGGGGGAAGGCACTTTGTCATTTTTTTTCCTGTCCTTGGAACCCAAGGACCAGCGCAGAGGAAGCATTTTGCTCAGGCTGTCCTTCGTCTTGCTGGGGACCCTCATGCTTACACTGCGTCCCTGAAGACCCCTGACGAACGGCCTGCTCTCAAAGCCACCTGATGATGATAAAAACAGGAAAAACTATCAGTTTTTATACAGTGGGTGCGAAAGTTTGGGCAGCCTTGTTAATTTTCCTGATTTACCTTTATAAATCTTTGATTGTTTGGATAAATAAATCAGTAAAATATATCATATAGGGGACAAACACAGTGATATTTGAGAAGTGAAATGAAGTTGATATGATTTACAGAAACTGTGCAATAATTGTTTAAACACAGTTAGGCAGGTGCATAAATTTGGGCAACATAAAAAAAACCATAACTCAATAATTAATAGATCATCCTTTCGCAGAAATAACATTCTCCAAACACTTCCTATAGCTTCTAATGAGAGTCTGGATTGTGGCTGAAGGTATTTTATACCATCTTTACAAAACATCTCTACTTCATTTAGGTTTGATGTTTTCTGAGCATGGACGGCTCTCTTTAAGTGACACCACAGATTTTCAATAATTTTCAGGTCTGGGGACTGAGATGACCATTCCAGAACGTTCTACTTGTTCCTCTGCATGAATGCCTCAGTAGATTTTGAGCAGTGTTTAGGGTGGTTGTCTTATTGGAAGATGCAGCCCCGGCTTCAGCAGCTTCAGCTTTGTCACTAATTCCTGGACATTGGTCTCCAGAATCTGCTGATATTGRTTGGAATCCATGCGTCCCTCAACTTTAACAAGATTCCCAGTCCCTGTACTGGCCACACAGCCCCACAGCATGATGGAACCACCATCAAATGTTACTGTAGGTAGCAGGTGTTTTTCTTGGAGTGCTGTTCTTTTTCCTCCATGCATAACGGCCCTTGTTCTGCCCAAATAACTCTATTTTAGTTTCATCAGTCCACAGCACCTTATTCCAAAATGAAGCTGGCTTGTCCAAATGTGTTTTAGCATACCTCAAGCAGCTCTGGTTGAGATGTGGGCGGAGAAAAGGCTTCCTCTGCATCACTCTCCCATACAGCATCTCCTTGTGTAAAGTGCGCTGAATGGTTGAATGATGCACAGTGACTCCATCAGCAGCAAGATGGTGTTGTAGGTCTTTGGTTCTGGTCTGTGGGTTGACTCTGACTGTTTTCAACATCCTTCGCTTCTGTTTTTTCCAGATTTTTCTTTGTCTGCCACTTGGAGCCTACGCTTGAACTGTGCCTGTGGTCCTCCATTTTCTCACAATGTTTCTCACAGTGGAGACTGAAAGCTGAAATCTCTGAGATAGCTTTCTGTATCCTTCCCCAAAACCATGATGGTGAATAATCTTTGTTTTCAGCTCATTTGAAAGTTGTTTTGAGACTCCCATGCGGCGACTCTTCGAGGAAGATGCAAAGAGGAGAAAAACTTACAATTGCCCCCCTTTAAATACCCTTTCTCATAATTGGAGTCACCTGTGTACGGAGGTCAAGGGTCGAAATCAATAAAATGACAACGGTGCCCAAATTTATGCACCTGTCTAATTTTGTTTAACCAATTATTGCACACTTTCTGTAAATCATATAAACTTCATTTCACTTCACAAATATCACTGTGTTTGTCCCCTATATGATATATTTAACTTATTTTTTTTATCCAAACATTCAATGATTTATAAAGGTAAATCAGGAAAATTAACAAGGCTGCACCCCACTGTATTCAAAGGGAAATGTCTGCTATATATAATTTAGTGAGTAGGTGGTTCCCTACCCTTTTCCTCTTTAAAGCCATTATTATGGAAGACTGTCGACTCTGGAGAGTCAGGTATGGAAGATGGACAGGAGGTGGAGGTGCGAAGAACCAGGCTACCTCTCCTGTCCTCCGTTAACCGAATCAACCAGTGGTCTGATGCTGATGAGCTTGTGGAACCTGTTATTTACAGGAAGAAGGATCAGAGGTATGGTAAATATGATGACAGGAGATTTTACTGCAGACGCCTGGACGTGCCTTTAAAAACTGGCATGAGGGGCATCCTCCATCTCCATAAGATGCAGCGTTATCTCTGTGCCTGTTACCATGGTGATGGGCTCTGCAAACATTATCTGCCTGCCTGATTTCAATAAACTGTTGCCTTTTCCTTTTGAAGCCATCAGCCCTGAAAAGCCTGACGCAACTTTCTGACACATGGTTTCATTTCGTTCTTCATGCAGCTGATCCCAAACATCACGCGTTACTGTGAAGAGGTTTCTCCCTTTAAAGACTTGAAAGCATTTTCCTAAATAGAGTGTGAAACCATCCGTTCCTCAAAGACTAATGAGGGTGCTTCTGCACCAAATCAATATTTGCATTAATCCTGAAAAAGCTTTTACTTAGTTTTTACTATTACTGTACAAACATTTTGTTATGAAATAAAAAAATAAATACATTCCTTAGTAAAAGTTCAGGGACTGTACAGCGGAACAGTTGTCTGGCCTTTCTCGGTGAAGTTGGTATTTGCTCACTGTGCACATGTGGGTTTTCTCTGGGTACTCCAGTTTCTTGCAAAAACAGCGACGTTAGATTGTTTAACTCTGAATTGTCCCTCTAGCCTCATTCATAAAAAAAGCTCAGTCCAGAACTGACACGTGTTCTGTCCTCCTCAGCTCATTCAGAAAAAACACTAAGGTGGCAGCCGGTTCGGATGTTATCAGTCCATTAAATGGACGTTATTAGCAGTTATCAGTCCCATAGAATGGCTTCAGACTGTCCTGACAGTGCCCCCTAGTGGGTTACCAGTGCCATATACATTGGAATGCAACAATCTGCTACCGCCGGCCGGAGTCCGGTCTACTTTATCGTAGCCCATGTCATTTTCTCTAAAATTAACCTTAGTGGTTTTATGCCTCATATTAACCAGATTGCATCAAAAACCTTAGTGGCTTTATGCCTCATACTAACCAGATGACAGTCTAAAGCCATTCTATGGGACTGATAATGGCTAATAATGTCCATTTAATGGATAATAACATCCGAAGCGGGTGAAGGTGGAAAAGAGGGGAAAAGTGAGCCCGCCTCTGATGCCCCTCTGAGCCCCCGAGCGAGGTAGTATCAGAGCCAGGTCTGAGCCGGCCAGACCGACTTGTGAAAAAAGCAACCCGTGGTTCTGAGTGAGCGACTGCAGGATAAATCAAACAAATTTATCTCCGAGGGAATATTAAAGATGACGTGAAACAACAACTTTACAGTTAGTTTAAAGAATACTGAACCACAGGATTGCTACTGTAAGCTAATTCAGTTTATTTTGTTTGATACAAGGCAGACGCCAGTCTAACAATAAATACGTGGCGGTCCATTTCTGCCGAGCTGAGATCTGCTCCACGCCTTTTAGTTTTGCAATGCTGGGTTCATTTCTGAACGTGGACCTGTGAGCAGGACCTGGCCGGCTTCACCTGTGATTTATGAATGATCTGAGTGAGTTTAAAGCCGGACCGGTCTGTGCTGCGATTTCACAGAACTGTCTTGTGAAAGTGGCTCGTGTGTCTCTGTGTCCATCATGTTTAGTTATGTGACATTTTAAAGCTCTGCAGAAACTCAACGATGGCTGTCGTCATTTGACTCTAAACTGATGCAGCTTATGTTTTAGGCAAACACATCTCATATTTTCAGGATATTTGCACAAGCTCTTTTACCTAAAATTTGCTATCCGATCTAGCTAGCTTGTCATCGGAGAACATACCTCTGACGGAGCTACTGGCCGACCACGGAGGAATGGTGTTACGCCTCTGGTAGAACAAGATGTAAGCTCCTTTGGTGCACACTTCCTCCTCAGGCACTAGGTCCACACTGCTGTCGTCGTAGTTGTACCACTGACCGTCCACCGAGTTTCTACAGTAAGCTGGACCCAAACATCACAACAAACGTGAACATGTGACATTTACAAACTAATTTAGAGCAAAGTTTGTTTAGTGTTTTCAATTGCAAACCTAAACTGTAAACAGAACGTTTTTAAATGTCTAATTCAATTTATCCTTAATTGAAAAGAAACAAGTGTAACATTATCTTTTAGAGTTTTCACTAACTCAGCTTCATTTTATTTAGAGTGCATGGATAAATCTACAATTGGACATAACAGAGCACTGCAGTGAAAAATTTTAATACAGACCAATGACAAATTAAAAAATAAAAAAGTAATAAACTGCTTGTAACATTTTTATGAGTTTTAAATGGTAAATGGTACTGAACTTATAGAGAGAGCGCTTTTCAAGTCCCTCTGGACCCCAAAGTGCTTTACACTAACAGACAATTCACCCATTCACACTCACATTCACACACTGATGATGGCAAACTACAGTGTAGCCACAGCTGCCCTGGGGCACACTGACAGAGGTGGGGCTGCCATGCACCGGCGCCACTGGACCCTCTGACCACCATCAGTAGGCAAGGTGGGTGAAGTGTCTTGCCCAAGGACACAACGACTGAGACGGCTGGACGGGAGATTGAACCAGCGACCTTCCGGTTCCGGGACGACTCCCCTAACCACTCCGCCACAGCCGCCCCAATTAATTAATGTCCTTTAGTGTGCACTCTTTTATTTAATGTCTAATAAAGAAACAGTGATAGGATGATAATGTGTGTGTTTGTACCAGTGTAATGTCCTCCATGCATTCCTCCGTGATGGTTACACACAGCGTAGAGGTCATACAGATAATCGTGAGGGAGGATTAGTTTGGACGACTGATGGTTTTGGCCTGAGGACTGTTTCCTTGAGGGCAGTGAAGACCCCTGGTGCAGGTTCTTCATACTCTGGCTTCTCTTCACCACATGGGGGGCCATGTCCAGAGCGGTCAGGGGGAAGCGCACTAAGGTTGACAGCTTGTTCCGTCGCTCACCAACCTGTTGGAACATTCAGGTCTCACCTTACAGTCACTGTTTTAGTACATTCAAACAGTTTTATGCAACCTACGTTTAATTATTTTAGAAGCAAAAATACAAATTTGCAGCTCTAATTTTAATAGTGACACCATAAACTGTGAACTTTGTTGGTTTAAAGCTTGAGATGCATTCACAACTTGGAAAGTGAATTCATTTTGTTTTTAAAGAGGTGYTTAGTCCGAGTTGTCGCTATAGTTGGTATCTTACCTGCAGCTGACAGCAGCCAGAAGGAGAGCAGTTTGACATGAAATTGTAATGTGGTGCKAAATTCCTAACTACTTAAGTGATACGTCAGATATTTTGTGACAGATTAAGATAATTGTAGATGCCCACCTACATTTTTATACTTTGGGATCAATTGTAACCATTTACTTTAAACAGAGAATCAACAAGTCTCTATTTAGTTTCAGGGGTCGTTTCTATAACTTACTTCCTTGTTCACTTGGACATAATTTCCAGGGTGGGACGTGACTCTGGATTAAGGCTTTTTCATTATGTAAGCTTTGCCTCATTTAAAAAATATATATTTATTTATCAACCTTTATTTTGCAGAGTCTCCAGGGCCAGGGTGGAGATTTCAGGAGGTGGACCAGCTCTGAGTGTGGTGACKGCACAGAATAATCCAGCACAGACTTTGATCACTCATTTGAACATGACCTTTCAGATGAAAGTCAAAGCTTTTTATCAATTTGTAAACATTCCTACTTTTCCAACAGCTGGTTACTTTGCCTGATTATACCTAACATGCTCAGCTTTGTAAGAGGTTTTTCATAAACAACCAATACTGGTTCGAAATCATGCACAACACGATCATTTGAGTAACCAACTAAGGACTTCATGCAAATAATCTGCTAATGCAAAAGYAATGGTGGTTAAAAACCACAAACTGTTATTTGCAGAGCAGTGTTAGAAACACTCCAACAAACAAACATCTGTCAGATCTCAGGATGGTACTAAGATAAGGGGTATGGGGTGGGGGGGTTATTACACACTTTTCTTTCGAAAGCAAGTTGAGTTGGAGGAAAAAAAAGATCCTCTGATCAAAAAAGTCAAAGCTTCAGTTCAAATCTGCACTCTGTTCTATAAACAGCAAATTAATCTTTCTGTAACCTAAAGACTGCAATAACAAGCTCAAACCGGCCTACTTCATTAGCCTCCATAAATATGGCTTTTAAATTTTAGTTTTAGAAAGGAGCGGCAGAGAGAACATCTTCATTTGGGGGAGGCTTTATTATGATATTGTGACTTAACTTTTTATAACTTTATTATGATATTTTTTAATTTATTTCAAAAGTTAAAAAGTGCAACACAAAAAAATACTTTTCATTTCAAGCTTTGCATCCTTGCTGTGAGTAAACAGTGCCCCCGCTCTGTTCTTGAGTTTGCAAAAAGTCACTGAATGGTTTCGAAATCAGAAAAGAAACAAATGACTCTCAAAGCACATTTAAGTAGAAGTTTCCTTGAGGAAAAATAAATCTGCTTTTGTTCCAAATTCAAAATTCAATAGAAGAGCACAAACTGAACTTTTAGACAGCTCTTMCTGAAACTTTTGCTTTAATTTCAAAGTGGTGGCAATGCTTTTTCACATTTGTTACAAAAAGTAACTGTCACAGCAAGATTTACCAAGAATGCAGAAACACGTTGGAATAAATGCACAGAAAGTCTGCATGTATGGTCGTCAAATGATTTAATCTGAGCAACAACGCAGCAGAGGTCAATCAGGAAGTCTGTTGAGTTGTGGCTGCGCGTCAGTGGAGAGCAACCAATAATATAACATCATGTGACATGCTTACAACCAATCACAGTTCAACAAATGTAACCACCTAACCAATAACAGGGCTCTCAGCCCAAGAGCTACCTTATCAAAATAAGAGAGGTCATGCATTGCTGGAGTCTTGAAGTCTAGAGCAAACAGATTAAAACAGCCGAAACTAGTTATCATAAGATACTAGTACTGGACAGTGTCAAGGTAAAACAGATATAAATRATTAGTCCAYAACAATAAYGGAAAATTCAGCTGCATAAATATTCCTTCACAGCACAGCTGTTGGGTGGTTAGTTCTGTCTTCCAAAGCAAGAAGGTCTCTGGTTTGAACTCGTGTAAAGTTTACATGTTCTCCCTGAGGACGTGTGGGTTTTCTCCAGGCGCTCCGCTGTTCTCCCACAACAACCGCACATGTTAGGTTATTTAACACACCGTGTTAAAATTAGGATGAACTGTCCATGGTGAGGGCGGCACAGTGGCTCAGTTGGTACAGCTAATGCCTCTCAGCAAGAAAGTTGCCAGATCGAATCCTGGCCAGGGGCCTTTCTAAGTAGAGTTTGCATGCTGTCTCCATGCATGTATGAGTTTTCTCTAAGTACTCTGGTTTCCTCTCACAGACCAAAAAAAACATGACTGTTAGGCTAATTGGTAACTCTAAATTGTCCCTACATGTGAGTAAGAGAGTGTGTGGTTGTTTGTCTCTATGTGACCCTGTGATGGAGAACTGGGACTGCTGGATATGGGAACCAGTGACCCTGAAAGGCAGAAGCGTGTATAGATAATGGATGGATGGATGTGGTGAGCACCACCTCTCACACAAACATTTCGCACATGATGCAGTTAAAAGAAAACAAGTGAAACTCTGATTACTCACTGTTTGCTCTGAAGTAGCTACTTAATTTTGAGTCTATGAAGGTTAAAACATTGACGCTCATGAAATAACACAAGGTTGCAGAGGAATAGCCAAGATTTTTTTTCCTGGTAGAAGTCTTTCATCTGTTGCTAGCATGATCAAAAACTATCAACAGGAGAAAGGTCCTTTTAAAGACTTTAGAAAAGCTCAAAGCTGCAAAAACGTTGTGAAAGTTCAATTTCTGTTTAAAGTGAAATGCACTAAAAAGAACTCATGACTATTATATAACCTTTTGCATGCAGAAAGCAAATGTAGGATTTTAAAAGGGAAAAGAGGGCATAGAGTTTTATACAAATAAGACCTTTCCAGCTCTCTAAGCAGTAGTATACTGTWTTAACACACTTGGGGTTTGAATTCAAGCAAAGCATGAGAATAGCTTCTGTAACAACACAGAAAACGTAAAAATACCTCTGCTGAAAGGTCAGTTTTTCATGTAATTGTGTTAAAACAATATAAATAATAAAAAATCACACCCTGGAATTAAATGCAGAGGGTGATGTGCATTTAAGGAATGCCACATTTTGTAAGGAACATACATTTGCGGGATGAGCAGTACAGTTGAATATGAGGGTTGTGCAAATGAACAATTTACAAATCCAATTCAATTATAAATGTTTTGTTGTTATTGACAGTGGTGTTTTAGCTTCTGGTACACATCGTCTCCACCCCACGTTCTTTCTTTCCTCCCCCAGCTGTATTGCGTAAAGAGTACTGTGGATTTTATGTGAAAATGATGGATKTCTGAGGGTCAMGATAGAGGTGAATGTCTAAAGGGTTGGACATGTATGGGTACCCCCAGGTGGTGCCAATCATAAGATTTATTTTCAAGAAGCATTGTATTTTATTTTTTGTCCTAAGTTTATATATTTCTTTGCCCCACGGCAGATGTTACTTTATTATTTCTGTTGAATTGGACAAGACACTTGTTAGATTTCATAAGAGAAAAGTGTTGAAATGAGTTTTCTTGTTTTTAACTTCCAAAACCTTGTTACTTTAACAAGGGTAGATGTTAATTGCCATGGCATAATTGAAATCCAAATTACCTTTTCTAAATTCTAAAACAATCCAATAATRTAGAAGGCAGGCAGCTATCTAGGCTCAACTTAATTTAACACTGAGTGTTGTTCATTGGGAAATTTAAAAATAAAGCACTGAAAGTTTCAACATGATGCTCTACGGGAGCTTTAAATCAACAACTTTCCCTGAAAGTTCTTCGCTATTTCAGATAAACAAAACCTAATCTGAACAACGTTCAACGGCATGGGGTTCTCATAAGTGCCTGTTAGCAAAATATCGTGTAAACCACTGCAAAAAGCAATCCATAGTCACATTTCATTTTCGCAAAAAGACTATTTCTCTAACATTGTTTGTAGTGACAGTTACAGCACTGACGTTTCTGAAAATGCTGTTTGAGCACCGGAGAGCACAAGCTGACCAGTTCGCCATCACAATTTCCACAGTGGATATTATCAGAAGACTGGGCAGGACAGGCCAAGAAACTCCCAGAAATACAGTGGTTTGCAAAAGTATTCATACCCCTTGAACTTTTCCATATTTTGTCACATTACAACCACAAACATAAATATATTTCACTGGAATTTAATGTGAAAGACCAACACAAAGTGGTATACAATTGTGAAGTGGAAGCAAAATTTTACATGAATCAAAACATTTTTTACAAATAAAAAACTGAAAAGTGCGATGTGCAAAATTATTCAGCCCCCCTGAGTCAATACTTTGTGGAGCCACCTTTTGCTGCAATTACAGCTGCAAGTCTTTTAGGGTATGTCTCCACCAGCTTTGCACATCTAGTGACTGCAATTCTTGCCCATTCCTCCTTGCAAAACAGCTCAAGCTCAGTCAGATTGGATGGAGAGCGTTTGTGAACAGCAGTTTTGAGATCTTGCCACAAATTCTCAATTGGGTTTAGGTCTGGACTTTGACTGGGCCATTCTAACACATGAATATTCTTTTTTTAAACCACTCCATTGTAGCTTTGGCTTTATGTTTAGGGTCGTTGTCCTGCTGGAAGGTGAACCTCCGCCCCAGTCTCAAATCTTTTGCTGACTCCAACAGGTTTTCTTCCAAGATTGCCCTGTATTTGGCTCCATCCATCTTCCCATCAACTTTGACCAACTTCCCGGTCCCTGCTGAAGAGAAGCACCCCCAGAGCATGATGCTGCCACCACCATATTTGACAGTGGGGATGGTGTTTTCAGAGTGATGTGCAGTGTTCTTTCTCCGCCACACATAGCGTTTTGCATTGTGGCCAAAAAGTTCAATTTTGGTCTCGTCTGACCAAAGCACCTTCTTCCACATGTTTGCTGTGTCCTCAACATGGCTTCTGGCAAACTGCAAACGGGACTTCTTATGGTTTTCTTTTAACAATGGCTTTCTCCTTGCCACTCTTCCATAAAGACCACATTTGTGTAGTGCACGACTAATTGTTGTCCTGTGGACAGTTTCCCCCACCTGAGCTGTGGCTCTCTGCATTTAATCCAGAGTCACCATGGGCCTCTTGGCTGCCTCTCTGATCAGTGATCTCCTTGTTCGGCCTGTAAGTTTAGGTGGACGGCCTTGTCTTGGCAGGTTTACTGTGGTGCCATACTCTTTCCATTTCCGGATGATGGATTGAACAGTGCTCCGTGAGATGTTCAAAGCTTGGGAAATATTTTTATAATCTAAGCCTGCTTTAAACTTCTCCAAAACCATATTCCTAACCTGTCTGGTGTGTTCTTTGGACTTCATGATGCTGTTTGCTCCCCAATATTCTCTTAACCAACATCTGAGGCCGTCACGGAGCAGCTGTATTTGTACTGAGATTAGATTACACACAGGTGGACCCTTTTGAGTCATTAGCGGTCATCAGGCAACTTCTGAATGCAATTGGTTGCACTCAGGGAAAAGGGGGCTGAATACTTTTGCACGTCRCACTTTTCAGTTTTTTATTTGTAAAAAATGTTTTGATTCATGTAAAATTTTGCTTCCACTTCACAATTGTATACCACTTTGTGTTGGTCTTTCACATTAAATTCCAGTGAAATATATTTATGTTTGTGGTTGTAATGTGACAAAATATGGAAAAGTTCAAGGGGTATGAATACTTTTGCAAACCACTGTAAAACCCTGCTGCAGGAAGGAGGAGGGAAAAAGAAAAACGTCTCAACAGGTTAGAAAAGGTGTTTCTGTGTGTCTTTGCAGGAGGAGGGTTAACAGGAACTGGTCAGGAGGTGTTATCAGGAGCTTTCTGTGTCTTTTTGTCCTTTTGAGATTATAATCTAAAAATATTTTATTGTTAAATTATGTGCTTATGCATGTAAAATCACCTACACCATAAAAGGAAGAATAACAAGAAATTCATCTATTATGAATTAATATTAATGAATTAGTATTCATTGGATGATAATCTGTAACTAATAAACTTTTGGAACCAATCTGATTCAAGACCAACCTTAGCAAACAAGAAAAAAAGACTAACACAGACAATTTGACAGATTTTGGGCTACAAATTGAATGTGGTAGTAGCTGAGAGTCATCCACAACACGTGAGAAATAACTCAGCACTATTTTCTAAACTGGATTTAATCCGTCATAAATTCAATTAATTTGATGTAAAGCTCTGGCTTGAAAGGTGCTGGGCTATATTTCTACTTTCAACCTTCATTTCTTTTATGTTTGTGAATATATTTCAATATTTTCCCTTTCATTTTAAAGTCAATTTTAGTTTACAAGGACTGAATCAAGCTCTAAAGCTGAAATTGCCACTGAAGTCTCTCTGGGGAACAAAAACCTTTTCAGTGTGTGGAGGTGGAGAGACTCGCACATCGAACAAGGTGGGATCTTCCTCCTCTCTTCCGAGGCTGTGATGTTTGAGTAGAAAACTGCTTTTTGAACTCGTTGGGTCTTGTTACTAGGCAGCAACATGTCTGAACACTATTGATAGACAAAGTAAAAAGAACATCAACTACATAAAAAAATCATAACGGGTTAACCTTGGTAGAAAAAGATCAGGGTCAGAAGTTGATGGCAAGGTTTTGTTCTAAAATAACAAGTCATTTTTAGTTCTTTTAAAACTAAAACAGCAACTGCAGCTTCATCTCAGAGAGCCTAAAATGAAATTACTTCCATACTTATWTATAAACAAGAYAGAACTCGAYGCCAACYGTCACTGATGTCCCCCGTCACCATTCAGTAGTGACCGACWGTTAACAGTTTTGTTGGAATCATCACAGGCCTTCATTATTTAAATCATCTCCTAAGGTGAACAGACAGACGGAGGGGGGGCTAAAGTGATCTTGTCAAACTACTAAACGTGTTGAGCAGGTCTCCCTTATGAAGMACACTAAATTTGGTTCAGATCAGATCATGTGTGTGTGATTTAGAGCYAACCRTATGTCAATGGTGTAATATCTAATTAGGCCACAACCTCTAAAATTTGGACTGCRTTCCTGTAGTGGGGTGGATTAGGATCGACCGTAGTGAATTGGGTATAGATTGGCTGAAGTATGTCGAATTTAGAGCCAAACGTGTGTGAACGGCGTGATGTCTGAATGCGCCGCACCGTCATGACCACGCCTTTCATCAAAAAGTCTTTGAGCTTGAAAACAAGAGAGGTCAACTTATTATCTGTGTCGTGACACAATTTGTTGCTGATTAGGTCAAGAGGGTCAGAGATGGGGCTGTCCAAGCCAAAAAAAAAGTAATTTCCTGTTGTCAGGGGGCGGGACTTTGACAAAGTATGGTCAGGCATGCAACAGGGATGAATGTATTTTAGCCTTTCTATTTTAAAGTTACAACTGTCTTAAATTGTAATGAACGGACGGACAAAGAGCATTTCTAAGTCCCCCGCTTTGGCAAAGGGGGGCAAAAACCAATCTCATCATTAGTTTAGACACAGGAAATAAAAAAGTCAGCCAAATAATTCAGCTCAGCAGTGACTGCCATTATACTCTGCTGGTCTCCCTATTCACTCACCGCTCAGACTCATACCTGCAGTCTGTGCTGCAGGAGTTTTACTCAAYTAATCCCAAACCATCTGGGTGCCATTATGCCTTTTTTGGTATTTTTTTAAATAAATCCACAAAACCTCAGAAAAAAATACATCACATAAACATTTGTTTGTTTGTTTTTATAAATTGAAGAGGGCTCTGAAAGTGCAAGTAAAAGCTTTTGGAGAAATTCTTGGTGAAAACCATAATATGATGGTGACACACCAGGAGCTGCTCACATTCATGCCCTGTAATCTGAGAATAAACATAAATGATGGAGAGAAAAWAAAGCTTTGATGCTTTCTGCTCCCAGCAACAATGGAATATATGGATGGTGCAATGGGATGAAACTGTGAGAAAGATAATATTGTGAGAAATTTAGTTCAATAAATAGTTCCTGGAATGATGAATGCAATGTTTCAACAAACGTGACCTTGATTTAAGTAAAGGCCAAGTGTATTCAGTCAATTTAACGAAGCATAAAATACTTCGACAAATGGAAATTCTAATCTCGATAAATGCTAAAACCAGAGCTGTGAGCTATTTTCAATGTAGTAAAACCCCTTCAGGATTCATCAAAGGTCAGTTAAACATTAAAGTTCACATATTTTCTCTGAGCATTTCCAGTTACGCGGCACAGTGGCTCAGTTGGTGTACCCYGCCCCTCACACTGTGACTGCTGGATTTGGGCACCAGTGYCCCACGCAACCCTGAAAAGAAGCGTGCACAGAAAATGGATGGATGGCTGGACATCCAAACTATAACTAACTACTGTGATTTAATTCAAACATGACTCTTCAGTAGAAACAATAGTTTTGCTTAAAATAACAATAAAAAAAGGAAAAACCGGAAGACAAACTGCAGAAACTTTCTTAAAAGGGACCTAATATGCAAAATTCACTTTTTWCAGTTTTTTTDAACTTACGTTTGGGTCTGTACTGCTTCTAAAAACAGTCCAAGCACCAAAATAAATAAATAAATTTTAAAAAGTAATAAAACAATATTTAAAAAAAGAACCCACAGGTATTTTTACTATGAGTGAATGTATTTTTTGTGTCTTGAAATACTATCAAATGTAAAAGTGAGAAAGTTTTACTCTGTGAGTTGTGGCAAGTAGATGCTGACTTGAATTCTAAACTCCTCCACTTTCTTACAGGGAATTCCCACTGGAGGGGCATTCCAGTTTGAATTTATGATTTGTAAGAAGAAATTTTTCATTACCGAGGACAACTTAACTGCAGCAAAATATCGGGCAAAAAATGCAGCGAAATGGAGATTTTACTGGCTACTATTGAACCCTGTGCAGCTCCACCTAGTGGTGGGATACCATCATTTTGCAGGTAAAAAAATCGACATGCATTGTAGGGGATATATTTTATGGTCAATGCTGGCTTTAAAGCAGCAGGTTTATTTGAAAGACATTAATACCTATTTAAAGCTCTCATGGGCCACAAAAAATGCCATGGCGTGTCACAAATTGCCTGCGGGCCTTGAGTTTGACAGGTGCCTTAAGGAATGCTATATTGGGAATACTGATTGCAGGAGTTCAACAAGCAAACAGGATGCATGACAATACCTGTCGGAAGCGCTTCAGGTGGAGGATGAGTATGTCGGGCAGCGTCCACAGGCTCATCTTCACCATGCCCTGCTGAAGCTGCTTACAGTGGGGACACTTCCARGCATCGTCCGGAGCCAGCTGGAAGCAGCAGAATCAATAAAATGGTTACATAAAGAATGAAAAATCATGTCCGGAGAACTTTTTTATAACGTGATAACTTTATTAAAGCTAAAGTTTTTGAATAACTGTGACTAAAAGATTGAATGTTTGGATTCTTTATAGTAAAACTTTCAAATACCGGCAAGTCTCTGTCCTTGTTTCCTTTATAAACCTCTGAGTAATTTCTCAATTTTGACATATTTTCTTTACAAAACGCATCTTGGAATGATATGAATTCTTAATTTAGAGCAGACACGATTTCCCACTTGAAAGACAAGTTTGTACTTTTAAAGTTTAGACCTGACAGGAAAAACTCTTTGAGCCTGAGCTCGACTTTTTGTCCCGGCTTTGTAAACAATCAACAACATTCTGCCTGCAGCGTGTTCCGTGTCAGCGGCGGTCTCATGGCGAGGGGGCTTCAAACCTGACATATACTGTGACTACAGCAGGCTGCCACTCWTTAGCCTCCTATCAAAACATGTAGCCGCTCTCCTCGAGGTGCAGAACAAAATGTTTAATTTCTGTAAAGAGATCAGGAAATTAATTTGTCTTGTCTCACTCTGATTTGTCTTTTAACCAAACCTAAAAAAGGCAAAAGAAAGAAAATGTAATTTTGTGCTCCTGCAGCTCACAGCAGGACTCAATGCTCAGCAGAATTCCTTCCTTCAACTCAAGTAGAGAAAATTCAATGGGTACTTGTTCCACCGTAATTCTGAGAAAAATTATTAAACCAAAATGCTGCGTTTTAAAGCCTAATTATTCTCATTCTCCAGTCATCACTTGACTCACTCTCTCACAATGACAACACTCATAAACCATGAAAACATCTCGTGTAATAAAAATTGATGTTTTCTTTGACCTTGGTTCTTGTCTGTGCATCATTCTCAAACAAAACATATGAAAACATAAAAATGTGTGTGCCATCAGTACACTGTTAAGGTTTCTCAGGACCAAAAAAAAAAAAGAAAAAAGAAAAAAATTGTCAAGTTCATTACTGCTTCATTACGTAAAATAAAACTAAAAATCCATTTCGTTTGGGGTTTAAGGTAGCAGAATAGACTAAATAAAAAGGGGATGGGTATTTTTGCAACCCTGCGTATCTTGTAAAACAAAGTTACAAAGACCTAAAATGTAGCCAGGCACTTTATATATTCATAAATATAAATTACTTTCCTCTGCTGCAGCGTTTGTCAGACGAATTTTAATTAAAAAAAAATCTGAATTTGTGTACTGATGTGAGACAAGAAGCACTTCAGATGTTTTTTTTTTTTTGACTAAAAACTCAAGGTATGTAGCGGACAGGTGCTAAAATCCATTCCTTTCATGAATAAAAACAGTTGCAGCCGAACCGGACCGAACTTCAGTCAAACAAGACCCAACACTTTTATTCMTGDTTTWAACTAGCGATCTTGTGAGCAGCTGCAGCTGTATKCTTTTATTTTATTTTTGTCAGGYTGTCGCGGAGCGCTCCACCTCCTCTGTCCGGGGCTGGTGTGGTGTGAGGCGGACAGCTCAGC